AGGCATCGAATGCGACCACTCAATGCGATGAAAAAAGACGAAAATGGGGAAACCCAGGCAGGAAGGGAATCTGAACGCAGACATGATAATCGCAGCCCCCCCCCTCACCCCTGTATTGTTCATCTTCATTGTGCTGTGTCATAGTCTGACTATGCATCAGCCCCAGCTGTTCACACGCTCCGCTGCTAATGATTCTCCGAAACAAAAGATTTTGAAGGAATTTCGATAAGACACAGTGTGTAAGATATGTTTACCTGCTCCAGGTCTTCGCAGCTTCGGCTGGAAATCATGCGCAAGCAATAGCAATTCATGGCCAAAGGCTCGGCATCAAGGCCAATGTTGTGATGCCTCGTCATGCGCCACTCATGAAGATTTCGAAATGCAAGGAACTTGGTGCAAACGTGATCATTGAGGTAATATTTATTTTACATCGACAATCGCAATGGTTAACACAGACGTTCTCGCAATCGCTACGTGGGTGTGTAATCTACAGCTTGTGTAATCAAACGTTTGCTTATTGAAGTGCTTGCGTAATTAGGCTCAACTCATGAGAAAGAAGGGTGAGTCATAACTGGATGCAACAGAGAACGAAATCCGCTATATCAATAGCTGGCAACTATGTAGTAGCGTGTCCTTAATATAATAAATGTAGTTAAATGCGTTAGGAATCGATGCAGAGACGGCAGCGGGGAGCAGTACGTACTCCAAAGCTTACCGAGCAGGCAGTCATCAAGCCGGTCTTTACCAATACATCGCCAATCTCAAAATCTTCGAACAATTTTGACCGTACCAATACATTCGTGAGCCTATGCTTCTCGCAAATGCTTCTATTCTTCTGGACTTGTGATTGCAGCGGGAGCGTGTGACACAGCACAATGAAGATGAACAATAGGGGGTGAGGGGGGGGGGCTGCGATTATCATGTCTGCGTTTAGATTCCCTTTCTGCCTGGGTTTTCCCATTTTCGTCTTTTTTCATCGCATTGAGTGATCGGCTACGATGCCTCCTTCTTATTGAAATCAGTCAATTCAATTTGATTTCATTACTGAAACAACTGCACCACGGTGTGCGATTCCTCGAGCTGGATCGAAAGAACTTCTGGCACGTTGCATCTCGCGACTTCAGACATATCAAAAAACTCGTACAGACAACGGTCGAGCAGCTGACAACAGCTGCAACGGTATGTTCTAAACCACCTCTGAAGGGGATGGACGGAGTTTAGGGCTACAGTTAGTACAAAGATAATTATCAAATGTACAAACAGTATTCATAACTTTTTTAGGAATTATAAATCCCCTACCATATTTGCGCAGAATTCCTGTATGGTGAGTACGAACGGAGGTCGACGAAGGAATAATTTACTTAATTGAGAGACAGGACCCTTTAAGGTGCGGACCAACACGCAACTCGCATCGAATCATATGCCCTCGGCGATCTAACATGGCCTCCCCTTTGGCGCAGTTGGCTGGGAACGCCCATCGACTTCAATCTCTAATCACTCACCGCAGATATATGTGGCGAGTGATTAGAGAGCGTAGTGTAGAGGACACAACGATGAGCCGCATCAATGCGCAAATCAACAAGGGAAGGGGTCCCATTTCTCGGGTTTCGGGCCGTTTCAAATGGTTTCTTCTTCATCCCTGCTCCACTGACCACCTCTACCCTTATTTCCAATGAGCTAACTTTTCATCGTAAATTCTGCCTCCTAGAAGTAGAGGCGAAGAAGTACTATTTTGACACGTCTTGAGAGGGGGTCTTTAAGGGCATAGAGCGTTTTTTCAAAATGCTTTTCCGATTGTTGCAGAGGTTCATGTTAGGAATGCAGAATCATGGTCCCGGGAATATCAAGCAGCGGAGAAGGAGTGGTCCAAAGTTCGATCCTCCGTGATGACAAATTTTTGCAATTTATGTTGGCGCCTCCAAATTGCCGCAAAACACGACAATGACATCTATTCTCGACGATGGCGCCATTTGGCGGCAATCTGGGGGCGCCAAACTATATTGCAAAAATTAGTCATCACCGGGGATCGAACTCTGGACCATTTCTTCACCACTGTTTTGACATTCCTGGAGGCGTTCAGGAAAAATGGATCATGGTTCTGTGTTCCTCGCATGAGCCCCTACAACATGCAGAAACCATTTCAAAAAAGCGCTCCATATCCTGAAAGACCTCCCTTGTTAGTTGCATACCACCGTGCACACCGTTTTGTGATGAAGCCCTTACAAACACAGTAAGTGGCAGATACAATCTTAATCCGCTTTTGAAGCTAGCCCCTTTAACATGCCAGCCTTTTCTAATTTAGCCTTACGAAATCAAAGAGGCGAAGGAGGCAGTAATAAATTTACATTCTCGATTTTTCTCCGAAAAAATATTATTCTGACCGCTTCTACCATAATTTCACCGATATTGGCGCCTGCAATGCGACCCGTGTCAGATTTCTTCTTGGTTGGCCTTGACAGGTACGGCTCTCATTAAATATTATGAAAGCTTCCCAACTTGCTAGCACTTATAAGTACGGTGTCGAAAGCATCGAGGCGGTAAATACGCGCGAGTATATCACAGTTGCGAACATGTATATTTGCTCAATCATACGCATTAATATGCAGCACTCACATATATTTTAAAAGCTCTCCTCGAGCATTAAAATATTCTTTCCTAGAGCCATGAGACACCTTCAAATTTTCAGCCAATTTACTTCAAGGTTCTTCAGCGCTACGGCGAGATTGAAAGGCTGTTGATCATGAAAAACAGCGCGCTGAGATCTAACTTGCAAGACAGTCGTTTATTCCAACAGATATTTCATGCATCACAAGCGCTTAGGCTACTTTTCTAGAGGTGGGCTACAAACAGCGGCAAGTCAGTTAAAGGAGGAATTCACGATTAGAATGGAGGTCGAGGAAGAAGTAATTTACCTAGTTGAGGGACCCACGGACCTCCTGAGGGTGCGAACTGATCGCAAAAATTTGACCTCGGCGACCTATCATGCCTCAAAGCTGGCGGGTCCGGCGATCTCCGCCCACCGATCATCTGACTCGCCGCAGTTCTATACGTGGCGAGTGATTAGATAGCTGAGAGAGCGTAGTGTTGAAGAGGGCACAGCGATGAGAGTCGCATCAATGCTCAAATCAACGGGCAAGGAAGGGGTCCCATTTCTCGGGTTCTGGGCCGTTTCTCATGGTTCTTCCTTCTTTCGTGTACCACTCACCATCCCTAGGTTAATTTGAAATGGGTTGCCTTTCAGCGTGAATTCGTCCTTTAAAGAAGAACTTCGAAGCGGCGCTGGGTGTAGTTAGGAGTGCTCGGTAGAAAAAAATGCTTTTTTTTCAAAACATTTTCTCAATATCTGATTCCAGGGCAAAGATATATCGGTCTCAAAAAAACTGGCTCTGAATCTTGCTAAGCAAAGCGGAGGAAAGTACATCAACGGATATGACATGATAGAAGTACTAGCTGGAGCTGGTACCGTCGCTGTTGAAATATTCGAACAGGTTCCGAACGTTTTCTGCCAAAGAAACATCATAGAAACGTCGATCGTACTTCGAGATTGTTCGGATGCGATCTGCAGTGAGAAAATAAGTTGATTGCAAGAAAAATCAGTTGTTTCTTTCTACAGGTCAAAGATGTCGACGCGATTCTGGTTCCTTCTGGTGGAGGTGGGCTTGTAGCGGGCACTTGTGTGGCGGCTAAAGCGCTCTCTCCAAATACAAAAGTGATCGCTTTAGTGCCAGAAAACTGCCCATCTCTCCTTGTAAGTTCTCCTAGGTCATAAAATTCTTCTAGGTGGTAAATTTATTGTAGGTTTTTTTTTGCAAGAAACAAATCTGTGCGGAAAATTGGCAGATTTCACCTCATCACGAGTATTCTCCTTCAGTTGCTGTACCCTGTTCCCAACTTCCTAATTTCGCGATAACCTCATGATAATATGCAGTTTCAAAGTGATGGATTCGCCAGCTTAATTCTATTTTCAACATTTCGACGTTGCTCGAGAGTTCTTGCGGAACATGGAGTACTGAACCGACCGCTGGTGTAAGCGAATCGTGTGACAGTGGTTTACCTTGCTATCTCTGTTCCATCTTTTTTGGCGGGGTGTTTTCTGACAAAAGCATCAAATTCGTCACTGATGCTTTGCTCGAAACAACATCACCATGAAAAGTGCGGTTCAACATAAGCCTCACATATGTTTTACCAGTTTTGCTTCGCCCGCTATCGCGCGCATCACACGGCAGGCTTTAGCGAAACTGGAGGACCCATGGAATATCAGCATGAGATACTCCATTAACCATCTCACTATTGACTGTGTTAGACCCTCCACAGTTTCACTGAAGCTCATCGAGAATACGCGTGATAACGTCTGGAGCTGAACTGGTATATTGATCACAACTGTAAACATCCAGCATTCTTGAATTAAGATAATTTAGCGGTGAATAGGATTGCTGTCAGTCTCAAAATCAAAACGAAATATGCCTATTTACATAAGTGAGGAGCTAAGGCTTATCATTTATTTACATTCACCATTATTTAGAACCCCGAAAGGATTAGCGGTTTAATGAGTTTGGGCTTTCTTGATAGAAATGAAACTTATCATTTGCTGAAGACTTGATTGAATTTATGCAATCGACTGCTATTAAGTAAGCTGGATATATATCGAAATAATGTGCACGTACCTTTGTTTGTACTACTACGACTTACTACAATTTGTAAGTAGGAACGTCAACGCTGCGTAACGGAACTGACGACTTTTGCGTTCTGACGCGCCTTATCAGCCCTTATCAATCGATCACCCACCAACAATGTCCCCGTCCCACCCCACATAACACTTGTAAGTATGGACGCTCTGGTGTCAACGCGAGCTGGTAACGGAATCGACGACTTTTGCGTTCTGACGCGCCTTATCAGCCCTTATCAATGTTATCAGTTTCTGGCACCCACCAACAATGTCCCCGTCCCACCCCACATAACACTTGTAAGTATGGTTGCTCTGGTGTCAACGCGAGCCAGGTAACGGAATCGACGACTTTTGCGTTCTGACGCATCTTATCAGCCCTTATCAGTTGCTATCGCTTCCAATCATGTACCACCAATGTCCCGGGACCGCCCCACATAACACTTGTAAGTATAGACGCTCTAGTACCAATATGAACGACAAAACGAAATTGGCGATGCTCGCTTTCTAGCCCCTCTTATCAGCTATTATCAGTCGTTATCAGTTCCTATCACGTACCACTTGTGTCCCCATCCCACCCCCTATAACATATGTAAGAACCACTGCGCTATCGTTACTGTGACTCGAGCTATGAATTTCCGGTCAAACACACACACACACCAACAGACACACATTAGCCGCTTATATATAGTAGGATAATCCTCATCAGGTATTTTCCTCGAATCAAACAAGGAGAGGGTAATAAATGTGGTAATGAGCGTGCCATTTCCAGTGCTGTACATAATAATTAGGTAATCGCCAATATTGTGCATAATAATTGTCGTGTGATCACAGTAAATAATTCGCGAATTATGTCTGTCTGTCTGTCTGCCTGCCTGTCTGTCAGTCTGTGTGTGTCCATTTGTCGCGAAACTCATAGCATGCTTCGGAATGCTGTATTTTTAGTGTGATATAGGAAGTGGGGCGGGAACATATTTGGTAGTGGTCATAACGTAAGAACAGCTAATGAGGGCTAAGAAACGGAAAACTCCACGAAATTTATAGCTCACGTCCCAGCAGCAGTGATTGTTCAGCGTTGGTTCCAACAATTGTGGAGGGTAGGATGAGAACATGTTTGGTCAGGGACAAAATGAGATAAGGGCTGATAATGACGATATACCTAAGAGCATAGAGACTGATTTCTTAGTCTCGAACTCCATTAGACCTTTACTTTACCCATTTCTTAGGAATGTGTGGTGGATGTTCAAAGAAGCGCGTATCAGACAGTGAGCTTGAGCAATAAAGGGAATGCTATGGGAAGGCGTTAAGGGCATTTCACGATGCAATTTAGGTTTGCATTCTTTAGCGGTGGGACCTAACGTTCCACAGGCTATCCAGTTTCAACGAAGCCTACCATGTCACGTGCGCGGTAGCGTGCGGAGCTAAAATGGTTATATAACCTTGTAATTTGAGTAGTTTGATGCTTTGTGGAGCATCAAACTTATTCCCTACTAATTAAAAGCCAAGTTCGTTCTTAGACCCACTTCCGCTTTCGAATTAACACGCTCTTGCCGCGGTTAGAAATGCTAGGTACGCAGGTGCAGAGGTCGCGGCCTTCCTACATTGAAACGCGCCACTAGGACCCTAGGCGCCATGGACTTCTAACAGACTCCACCAAACTTAACATGGTCCGCCCACCGTTCGATATCTTGTCTACTTGCTGCAAGTCTTGACGTTAATTTGCTATGCTCTCTCTACTCGGACTTCTCTACCACTCTCCGCACCCATTTATCTGTCACTCATTGCCTTGATGCGCTCTACAGCATAGAGAAAGAATGCTCGTACTTCCTGTGTAACTGACGATTTTCTTTCCTTTTTCATCCGCATCTAGTGCACCTCCCATAATTACTTTCGTAGTCGACATCAATTTGATCCTGATTCTTGCTTTTAATATCATTGGCTAACTAATAGTTCTGTGGAGAAAGTAGCATGAACTGATGAAGTAAAATATGAGAAGTTTTCTTTAGAAATCTCTCGAAGCAGGAAAACCAGTATTCACCAAAAGCAATCCTACACTAGCCGATGGTCTCGCTGTACCTCTTGTTGGTGTCAACTCGTTTCACACATTGAAAAGTAGGTATTTCGATTTTCAGAAGCGAAGCGAGATTTTCAGCGGGAACAAGCCAGCTTTCTCTTATGAAGTAGACATGGTCCGGGAAGACCTCTGACTGTCGCAAAATTACCATCTCATATTTACTGTGGTGCTTTTTGAGCTTCTCAATAGATATTTACTGGTATATAAACCCACACAGGTTTTTTACTGCGATCGTGTACAACATCCCAAATTTCGAAATATCCTTCCTATATTGAACAACAATAATAATCCGCTCTTCACGTCTTCGCGCATTGCGACAACTTTATCCATTTCCTCACTGATTTTACACAGTCAATGGAAACAACCATGCTCAAGAGGATGTGGGTCAAGAATGATTCTTTGAACAGGCGAGATGACAAAGCTTTGGATTGAATTGCTCACATGATCTTCATATACAGTAGCAATTAAAAGCATTCGTGAAGTAAACTGTTCTCCATGTACTAGTTTTTCCTTACGTCGCCAATCCATTTGAAATCTTGGTGTTTAATGTATTATGATATTGCCAACAAGTAACAATGCATCTGTCCTCATAACAACATATTTAAATGGAGAGCGGAGGTCAAATGCATAGTCTTCGAAAACGCGGGAAAGGACCAGGCACAACAACGAGGCTTTCACAGAAAACCATGATAAACAAGCGTATACGGACTTGGCCTTAACTAAAGCTATCAATACTTTGTCGGGAAACCACAACTCTCAATTACTGCCGCACGACGAGCCGGTAATGATTCGATGAGGTTCCGGATGACTTTCGTCGGTATGGCATTCCCTTCCTTGACAAGTTGAGCAAATTTTGATCCTTGTTTGTGCATGGTTGCTTGGCACACCGTCTCTCCAACTTTTCCAAATGTTCGATCAGGTTCAGGTCCGGAGATTGGCTCGGCCATTCCGAAAGCCTCACATGCCTCTGCTGGAACGCGGCGGTTACTATCCTAGACTTGTGTTTTGAATTGTTCTCTTGTTGCAGAATCCATCCGGCCGGCATGTTTCGTTCTGCCCAAGGTAGGAAGCCATCAATAATTATATCCCCGTAAATCTGCCTAGTCATTTTTCCGTGAAGTCTGAGAAGAGGGCCCATTCCGTTGAGCGAAAATACGCCTTATACCACTACCGAATCTCCATTGTGCTTGACAGTCGCATTGAGGTATCTCGGATTGAATTTTTAAACGGAAGGCGGCCTTATACACGCAATACCATGTGATCCGATGGAAATGAACATGCTTTCGTCGCTAAACAGGTCCTTGCTCCACTCGTTTGAGGTCCAGGAAAACGGCCGCGGGCAAACTCCATCTACCTTCCAATTTTTAGGTCTAATCAACGGCTTCTCAGCTGGCGCCTTCAAATTCATCCTAACGCACTCGGCCTTCTTCCTACTGTCCGCCTGCTGATATTAAAGCCATGGAATTTGGATGCGATAACGAAGCAGGTGAGGATGGGATCAGCCAAAGAAAGGCGTACTCATCTTACGTCTGTCCTGCCGACTACAACTCAAACGTTCCGATCCTCTCTAGATACAGTTCCTCTTTCGCAAAAACGGCTGAGAGTCGACGAAACAGGGCGTTCTGGAATCTTTGAAATTCTCGCAATTGTCACTCCCTTCATGCCGGCTACCTTCAGGTTAACGATGGCCTTGCACGTGGATATCGAAGTCTCGATCCTTCTTTCCACTACTGAGGACATGAAATTCTTAGACCACTCAGAAACAATATCGGAAAACCTTCCAAAAAGAAGGAAAGAGCAAACCTCGCAAAGATCTTGGAATTAAAAATGGTGCTTGCAAAAAATGCTGCAGTGGATCACCTATAAGGAATTGCGTTAACAATGCGAATAGTACCGTTTTTTTTACAACATCAAAAGGCATAAAACATCAAAATTTGAAGCAATCGGTTAGAAAAGGAAAAGTTATATACGAAAAACCGCTTCGGTTTTAAAAACACCTCTGACCGCTACTGTACATAGTTCCACCATATTTATTTGATCAATTAGGCTTGCCGCTCAAAAAATTGATCAATTGGATGATGTTCGATGAAGCATACAGAAAGTTCAAATTATTTTACCTGTTCCGAGTTGAGTTAGCAATTAATGTTCTGCTTTGTTCAAGATTTGGTAAGCAAAGTGATTGCTGTCAAAGAAACTGATATCGCTGTTGGCATACTGCGACTACTCGAAACAGAAAAGGCAGGTTGAAGATATCGTCATTGAATAATATCCAGAACAAAAATGGGTGCTAACTTAGTTAGGGGGACCACGCGGCAGCGCGGCCCTCTGCTCGCTCTCAGCCAAGAGTATGCCACGCGCAGAGCTATGCTCGTCAGCGCTTTCTAAAGCGGACAACACTGAGACTGAGCTTTGATGGAAGGCTTGGAGGTGGGTTTTTATTTTTAGTGGGACCAAGCCTCAAGAAAAAGAGGAACTTAGGGAGAGATAGTAACCCTATCCCCCAGAATTCCTCCTTTTCCTGTACCCTCCAAAGTTACTTCAGTTCAAACATGCATAGAGCAAGATCACACTGTCTACGGCATTTCCATCCCTGCCGAGGCTTAGTCCTATCTCGCTTGAGAGCACGCCAGACGAGCAGAGCGCCGCGCCACTGCGAGGTCCCCCCAGCTAGGTTCGCACCCAAAAATGAATTAAATTTCGTAAAACACACGTACATAAAAGGAAGGAAAGACAGAGAGAAAGTTAGCAGTGCGGGGGGCTGAGAGATGACTGCTACATAAATCAGTAAAATGGGATTCTAGAATACGTCAGAAAAAATGGAAAGGAACAGGAAATTCTGGTGGAAGAAGTGGAACGGCGTAGGTGGATGAGAAAACTTAATGGTATGGATCTGTCCTCAAAGGAGGTAGCGAAAGCCGTCACACAAAAACTATGCAGAAAAAGTGGTGCATATTTCACAGGGAAAACAGTAATCCGCTTAGATTGAACGCATTTTCTGCACTTTACAACAAAATTTACGTTAGTAGTGCCTGTTCAGGTGGTTGCCGAAGGAGCCGGTGCAATTGGAGCGGCTGCACTTCTCGCCGGAAATCTCCAAGAGTTAGCTGGTAAGAGAGTCGTGTGCATACTCAGTGGTGGTAACATTGATTCGACAATGGTTGGCAGATGCATTGAAAAAGGTAGGCGACCTTATGCTCATCAGGTACGTAAGGAACTATGTGATGTGCTTAAGGGTTGGCAGTAGATCACCGTCTAATCCGCTTTGAAGTGCTCATCTCCGATCGTCCGGGTGGTGTGGCCGAGTTAACCTAAAATTGTCGCTGAATGTGGTGCCAGCGTTAAGGATATGACAATGGTTAGTGAATTTGTGCACTTCTCAGTTTAGTACACTGTAGCATTTGCCATCGTTTTGGCAGTTTTCGTAGTACCAATGGCTGCGTAAGCGAGTATTTCGGTGTGGAAACGAAAGTTTAAACGCACTGCACTTGTGAGGTTTGGATCTGCTGACTCGGGAGTATGCAACAAGCTTGCGATTTTGGTTCAGTCAGCGCCACTTTCTGTCATATAATCGCACGCTTACATACTGCTGACGTATACACAGGGTGAATATCGCTTGAGGATTCCTCAACGGCACGTCGAGGATTCTCTGCCCGATCAGACACGATCTCTCGCGCGGACATTCACACTCGCCATGCGCGTGCCGTCTGTGCTCTCCGCGCGGATGTTCACTCTCGGCACTACTCTCGCATGGTAGAGAGCTATGGTCGAGGAAATCCTCGACCGTTATTCACCCTGGTATACACCACGGCGGGAGCACCAAATTGTCTTTTTACCTAGGACTATTGACGCTCTTTTGCTAGCAATACATTCAGTAAACAAATGCGGACAGAGGACATGAGGCTGCATTGTTCTCTTTCCTTGGATACACTTATTATATCTGCTGCCCGGAATAAGTTCAAATTTGTGTCGAATAAAAGAGGTCGAAATTCTGGGCACCAATGTGAATTGCATAATATAATAGATGCGGCTGTACGTTTGTCATCACTCCCTGCATTTATGCGGATCAACTCAAAGTTACTCTAGGAACGAGCTTTTCACCGAAGTGATGCCTTTACTGTTGCCGTCAGAGTGATTGCCGAGACCCGAGATTCTGCTCACGCTCATGAGCTCAATGAAATTCTCAAAAAGAGGTATGTGATCTCCCTATCCTTCGGTTCTCGTTTCTTCTGTATATAAAAGATTGATTTTCTCCGATTCACGTGATGAGAGGTGTGATCATTCGGAAAACGAAAAGGGAACGGCCAACTCTAAATCAACTAACTTACAGATATGGAGAAGACAGCAGTTTCTGCACCTTCCATGGCCGCCTGAACTGATGCCCAGAACAAAGCAGTCTTTTCTTGAAATCTTCTTCGCACTATTATACGAATTTGTTAGCATCTCGGCA